CTGTAAGTGTAGCGTTTGGTTTGGCCCTGGATGAAATGAGCCCTAAACAGTTGCAATTGTTAAAGAACATGTGTGTGGGGGGGGGGGAGTTGGGGAGACAACAGGAAATCTCATCCAGACAGCAGCAGATTAGCCAGGTGTACTTTCTCAACATGGTAATTAGCTTGCCAGACATAAGGTAATAAAATATCTTTTTGGATTTATTTCGTTTTGTAGCCAGTCATCTCCGAACAACAAAAGTATGTACTACTGTATGTGTAGCCCTGCCCTGGCTGGCCCAGGCTAGCCCTATCTTGTCAGATCTCCGAAGCTAAGCAAGGTGGTTCCCTGGTTAATATTTGGATGGGAAATCACCAAGGAAGTCCAGGAGAGCTATGCAGAGGCAGCCAGTTGCAAATCACCCGTGGACATCTCTTACCTTGAAAACCCCACAGGATTGCCATAAATTATCTGTGATTTAACGGTACTTTACACACACACATTGTATGTAATTTCTTTTAAATAAAAAATCCGTATTTCTACCCCTAAAGATTTACATTTTAATTCTTTTTGTTTTAAAATATGTCTCTTGTAACTTGATTTTTAAAGAAGAAAGAAAGCAGGAACATTTTTTTCTCTGACTGCTCAAGAAACTTCTGATGTAAGAGCAACTGATAGGAGAAGGGGGAGAAAGGAAGAGAGATGGGAAGCAAAGAAACAGTTTTCAGTGGGAGTGGCAAAAAATTGAGTGTAAAATTTACTAACTACTCCCTTGGTTATATTACTCTGCAGCAGTTCCCCTCATTGGCATGATCACAACCTTGTTGCCTTGAAAAATCAATTCTGGAAATAAAATTTTATTCTTATTCTTAAATGTTATCCTTTACATAGAGAGCCACTTGTTATACTTTCTACATGCATTCAGGGCTCTTTTTGTAGCAGGAGCTCCTTTGCATATTAGGCCACACACCCCTGATGTAGCCAATCCTCCAAGAGCTTACAGTAGCCCCAGTAAGAAGAGCTCTGTAAGCTCTTGGAGGATAAGAATAAAATTTTATTTCCAGAATTGATTTTTCAAGGCAACAAGGTTGTGATCATGCCAATGAGGGGAACTGCTGCAGAGTAAATATAACCAAGGGAGTAGTTTCTATGAGGAGTTCTGGAGCCCACCCTATATTTATATGGAGGACAGAGGAATCTAAATGGGTAAATTTGTGGACAGACTACTCATTCTCATTTAGGCTTACCGTATTCCCACTTATGGTGGGGAATCTCCCCCCCCCCCACTGCCCACCGTTGCTCAGTGAAACTGCGAGTGTCAACTCTGGCACAATGACATCACTTCTCGGTTGCATCATTAGTTGTGCCATTGCGTCAGGGAAAACGGCCCCCATCAGTTCTTGCCTCCTATTGTTGGTCTATATCTAAGACGAAGAAGAAGAAGAGTTGGGTTTATACCCCGACCTTCACTCGGCGTCTCAGAGCAGCTTACAATCTCCTTCCCTTCCTCTCCCCACAACAGATACCCTGTGAGATAGGTAGGGCTGAGAGAGCTCTGAGAGAACTTCTCTTGAGATCAGCTCTGAGAGAACTGTGACTGACCCAGGGTCACCCAGCTGGCTGCATGTGGAGGAGTAGGGAATCAAACTCGGTTCTCCAGATTAGAGTCCACCACTATTAACCACTACACCAAACTGTTAAGTAAGCTGGTAGCCTGAGACATACCAATCAGTGATTGACTGGAGGGATCTGGCCAGACAAAGCCTGCTTAGAAAAAGGGTTAGTTGAGCAAGTGATGGAGTCTTCCAGGAAGCCCTGGGGCGTCCTAATTCCATGGTTGTCAAAGAGCAGTCCTAACGAATGAGTAATCATTATCCACAGATATTGTGCTTATGACTTTATTATCTTGAAAAGCCAAAGAAGAATCTGAAAAAAGACTTGAGCAAAGCAAGAAGAGTTTTGAAAGTGCTAACTTGGTGTGGATGCTAGATTGAGAAAAAATAGTTCATTGAACATAATTAGGTTAGTGAATGATGATAGTACATGGATCACGACTTCCTTTAATTACAGTAACTTGAAGGCAATCAAGAAGGTGTACCTGCATTACAAATATCTAGGTAAGGAACTACTGTTTTCTTTGTTATTTTAGTAATTAAGTCTTCAATAAACTCTTAAATATTTTGATTCTTATCTTATGCTGTCAATGTCTGTCTGTTTTATGGCTAAATAATATCAAGTTAGCAGAGTATGTATGTTCTTACCACTAATGGTCAAATTACAAGTATTACAATGAGAGCAATATGATTGATTCTTTCACCAGAAAAAGATTCTGTTTGGAAGGACGTTCCAAATGACAGCCATGTTTCTAAGGGTGCTGTCACACAAAGACAGTATCCGGTTTTGAACCAAGATCAATCCTGAATGTTATAAAAATGAGGTGTGAGCAGCCAGCCTGTTGTCCCCAGCTCATCGTCCACCCAGCGATTCGAAAGCTTCGGCGAGTAGATAAAATGGGAACCACTCCTTAGAGAGGGTGGGCACACCAATCTCCCTTGTGGGAGGGTGTTAGCTGACGGTCGGGACGTCCTGGTCGAGGTTCGGAAAAGGCGGAAGAACTTATCGGCTACAAAATCCCTGCAGTGGATGTTTCCGCGTGGGGCCACATAAACTATTAATCTTCATGAACCTTTTTGTTTACTAAACCAGTTCATTTTGTGAGGTTTGTGATGCAGTAGAATAGCCACCCTGTGGCTTAGAGACGCCAAACTCAGAGCGAGTCTCCAGCTGACTCTCTTGCCTGCACCAGAGCAAAACAAATGTGCCTGCCTATGCGCTGGCTCTACCCACACCACCTCTGGCTCTACCCACACCAGTCTCCCTCCCCTTGTTCAAAATAGAAATTGAGATCTCCCCCCACATATGGTTGCATGGCAGCCTGCTGGCCCTTTCCCCACCATTTTTCCTCTGATCAGGGCACTTGCACTCACAATTTCCTCCTCTCCCTTTGCACTAGGATCCTTGACTTCTGCACCTCTGATTGCCCATCCCCTCAGGCTTGGCATCACCAGCTGGCCTTGCTCTGCCTGTCCCTCATCTTGGTTTTCCAACTTTCCGTCCCCCTTGTGTGCTAGGCAGTCCCCCCTTTGTACTTTGGACTTTGTTGTTGTTCAGTCGCATAGTCGAGTCCGACTCTTCGTGACCCCATGGGCCAGCTCCCGCCAGGCCCTCCTGTCTTCCGCCGTCCTCTGAAGTTGGCTCAATTTCATGTTCGTTGCATCGCTGACACTGTCTAACCATCTCATCCTTTGCCGTCCCCGTCTTCTTTGACCTTCAATCTTTCCCAGCATCAGGGTCTTCTCCAGTGAGTGCTCCCTTCTCATTTGGTGGCCAAAGTATTTGAGCTTCAGTTTCATTATCTGGCCTTCCAGGGAACAGTCAGGGTTGATTTCTTTTAGGATTGACTGATTTGTTCTTCTTGCAGTCCAAGGGACTCTCAAGAGTCTTCTCCAGCACCATAGTTCAAAAGAATCTATTCTTCTGCGCTCGGCCTTCCTTATAGTCCAACTCTCGCAGCCATACATGACTACTGGGAATACCATTGCTTTGACCATGCGGACTTTTGTTGGCAGGGTGATGTCTCTACTTTTTATCATGCTGTTTAGGTTCGCCATCGCTTTCCTCCCAAGGAGCAGGCGTCTTTTAATTTCATGGCTGCTGTCACAGTCTGCGGTGATCTGGGATCCCAGGAACGTGAAGTCTGTCACTACTTCCACGACTTCCCCTTCTATTTGCCAAGGAGTGATGGAGCCGAATGCCATGATCTTAGTTTTTTGCTGTCTCCTCCAGCCCCAAGGAGGCCTGCACTTTGCTTGGCTTTTCGCAGCTTGGTTTTTTGCAGAGGTGGCTGGAGCCACATGAGCCTCTACCCCCTGACGTTTCCAGGGCACTCCTCTTCCCTGCAGAGGGGGGCAGTGTGTGTGTTTTTATGTCGCAGCTTGGTTTTTTGCAGAGGTGGCTGGAGCCACATGAGCCTCTACCCCCTGACGTTTCCAGGGCACTCCTCTTTCCTGCAGAGGGGGGCAGTGTGTGTGTTTTTATGTTTGCAGGTGAGTAAGGCCTGGGATTTGGCTGTCTCTTTCACTCTCCCTCTCCCCCACCCATTGAATGCTGACCTTTTAAATCATATTTAGTAATCCAAAGAAATGGGGAAACAAAGTAACCTGGTGGGCTGGAGGCTAAAAAACTGTGAGCTAGCTCACACTAACTCAGCTTAGAGGTTAGGCAAGTCATGGGTCATGATGCAATCCTGTGAGTACAAATTATATCCCCCTAGGACTACATTCCATTAGTAGTTGTTGTCTGTTTCTAGTGTGAGGTCTATTTTATGAATACAATTTTAGGCTGAAGAATGTTTAAATTAATTTTTTTAAAGACTTTATTTTTGTTGCACCAGATTTACATGGCTATTCCTCTGGAATCTAAGGCATGTCACCTGTTCAATAGCTGTACCTTGAAAATATCTTCAGCATTCTCATTTACATAACGTCTCATGTTCTTGAATTTATTTACACTTTAAAAAATTGAGACCAAATTGAGCATTGTTGAAGTGCAGTCTTGAAATCCCATTTATTTATTTA